CTAATGTTCTCTAGCAGCTGTAAGGTAAGTAGGGCTAATGATTCTCTTAAGTAATGTAACTAGCTTTAGTCTAAGAAGTCATAGGACAGAAGCAAGAGAGAACACATGACATTCAGAAGACTTTAATAGTGTTTAAAGGCAAACATAATATACAGAGAAACCCCTTAACCTAGTACAAAAATACTGTGCCCAGAAACTATATATTTGTTCAGGTATTTTTAAAAGATAGAAGAATACAAATGGACAAACTCAGTGACTAGTGACTGTGATTAAGGTTTTTATTAAACTATAATAGGAATGTATGTTAAAACTATTTACAGTGCATTTCAAACTACATTCTTTAAGAGACACATGCAGGTGTCTGCCATGTGAACACCAAGAGGACTCAAATTCTAACTTCAGTTACATCTGTAAGGTACCTTGGGCATCGGTGGCAATAGCTGAACCAGTAAAGAGCAGGTGAGGCAGCTGTCACCAAGGATAAGGGTTTGGTCCCTCTTTACAGGTAAGAAAAGACAGATTTGACCCATTCTTTCACTTTCTATACAGCACAGCCCAGCTCCCCTGAGGTAAATGGGAATCACAATACTGACTTCAGGTGGGCATCTGGGAATGCGTGAGGCCATGCCAAGCTCGTGCTCTGGGAGTTAGTGGGAACCAGCAATTACAGAGCATTGTCACATAAATACACATTTACAAACACTGGTACTCAGATAGGAGTTTCTGTGTGCAAACAACCTTCCTTATGTGGAGAAGAGACTTTGCATTCACCTCACAATGACCAAGATGAAATATCCTGCTGTCACAATTTGCTGCATTTAGCAAGTGTCACTAATTACCAGCACAGAGTCTCTGGTGGTTCTTCTTCTTGTCAAAGTCCAAAGCAAAAAAACCCAGCCCTCATTATTTACCATACTCTGGCCATACTCATTCTGCTGTTCAAGCTTATATTTTAAATTAGTGCAAGCCCCTGAAAAAGTACAGCAGGGAACTGGAAAATAAAGCTGAAACCTTGTGGAATGTAAACTGCATGTAATTTAACATGAAGAAAAAACCTGCAGCATCACAGAGATAAGACTCTGAATGAATACTACTATATTAATTTGCTTGAAAAATGAGGTCTTTATAAAAACCTTTAAAAACATGTGAATTTATTATAAGCAAGGCAATTTTTTTTCCATAAAAAGTCTTACCATGTTCTTATGCATGACTGGAAGGGACAGCAGCTGGATCACTCCTCTAATTTTAAGGGCCTAGACCTGATTCTTCATTATCTTTCTGTATAATGAGTTGGAAAATCAGTTACCTGCTAATTTTGACAAACCTTATGTACAAATTAGTTAAGTGCCCTGAATTTATCAGTTCATACCACTACCAGGTAAAATGTATTGGGTTGGAATTCAAAAGATGCATGCAATTGTGAGAGGGTGATGCATATAAAGAGGCTTTGGTTCTCTCTTCTGAGGAGAAATCAGCTGATCATCAGTGAAATTAATTGTTTCCTTTTATCAGTAGCTCACTTGTAAAAGTGCATAGTGAAGATATGAGTAATCTGCTCTTAACTATAAACTGCTCCTTAATTAAAAATTCACACCATCTCCAAAGTCAGCATTACATTATTTCCTCCCCACACTTGCTTTAACTGTATGATATAATAGAAAACCTCGGCCTTCAGCTAATACTGCATGTGTGGCTAATTTCCTGGAAAATTCAGCTCAAGAGCCTCCCTGTTACTTGGAATTAGAAGAGGTAGGGTTAATCAGGAATTTTGTGTGTGTTAACACAAGTAAATTTTTTCAGAACAAATCCAGAAGTAAAAGCGTACTTCAAGAATTAAACTGTGCTGTGGAGTGAGTTTGAGAGCAATCACATTTGTGTCTGAGATCAAGCAGGATACTAACTTAGTTGTCCTCATTGAGAAAAGTATTAAGAATTAGTGGGACAAGTGCTTGTACCCAGAAATTGAAATCTCAAATGCGATAATGGTTTCAATGGACTTAAGGCTGAACTGTCAAAGTGACAAACTCCATTTCAGCTGGTTTCTTGTGTAAGCCACACTGATTGTTACAGCTAGACAACATCATGTCTTTGAGAGCAGACTGAAATAAGGAGATACACAGCTCATGATGAAATGAATGACAGCTGGATAGCTGTAATCGACCAGCTGGCTTTCACAAGGTTCAATTCTGCAACAGTGAACTTGAAGCAGAAACCTGCTGTAGTCAGGTTAGGTTTGGATTTTTTTCCCATATTGTCCCCTATTTACATGATGAAAGGAGGGAGCAGTTTTTGCAATTGAGTCACACAAAGCCATGACACACTTTGATTTTGCCTTCAGGCAGAGTAAAACACTATGTAAAGGCTTGGAATCTCATGAAATACAGCACTCTGTGCTTTTAAGGTTCTTAAACCAGTAGTTTAAAGGCTTTGGTTTTATAGAAATATATACAGATACAGGTGTGTTACAATATTTAAATGTTTATTTACTAGGAACTGTATTTATATGTAGGTTCCAACATTTGTGGTGGAAAAGATTCTATGGGATAAATGTGTACAGATATATAATTAAATATATGCACATACTGTATAACTGTTCATTTTAAGTGAACCTTTAAAAAATGTAACATCATGCCCTTCTTTTCAAGTCAAAGGTATGAATCCAGCACTCCTTCATAGCATTTATAAATTTAGTTATAATAAAGCTTTGCTGAACACACAATATAGCAAAGAAATACTGGAATATTAATGTCAAAGTTACATCACTACACTGTGATATCATCATAGTTATCTGCTGTGTTGTCACATGAGTTACTAGTCTCAACCATAATAGCAAGAATACACCTTTATATACATATATTTTATTCCTATTTATATTAAATATGTATCTCATCAGTATAATAATTATATTTCAGTATCTCAAGCACTCAAGAAAAAGACTATACAAGGGCTATGCAAATCCTGAAGCAAAGTTTTCTATTTATCCAAAAGTACCTAAACCTTGTTTTTGGGGGGGGTGTGTTGGCAGGGTGAGGCTGCTGTCACCTGCATACTGTGTATGCACAGAAATACATATACAGGGTACTGCAAAACAGCAGTCCTGGAATTCTTAGTGAATGTTGCAATCCATCCTTTTTTTTTTTTTAATTTGTTGGGACAGAATAAGGAGAAATACTTCTGTAGAAAAATGTTTTCAAATTCACAGCTGCAATCATTTATTATTGGTGCTCACTAGAGAAGCCTGAGATAGGACTTAATCAGTGACAAACAATTTAGTGTGGCAGAAATACTGCTGACTGTCAGAATACCTTGTTCTATATTAAAAAAAATATCAACTCTATAACTCAGCATCATCCAACATTTTGAAACATTTGCTTCATCTTTTCTTATCTCCTGGCATCGTTTGTCTAAATGAAGAAATTGATAAAAAGGGGGAGTTTTCCCTTTTTGACCAGATCTTACAACTTTGGTTGACAATCTCCTCGTAAGAAGAATTTATTGCAGTTTCTAACTAGAATTTCTTGGAATATTGTGATAGAACTAAATTCCCACACTTAGAAGTCCCGTGCCAAATGTGCTACTTTTGCCAACTGATGATTTTAACTAAAAAATAATGATTACAGATTAAAAAACTGGAACATTTTGTGTGTCTCTGTGCAGCCAAAGTTACCTGTGCTGCTAATGCAATTTAGACTACTGGCATGTGTCTCCTTATCCTGTCCATCTAAAGAATAGTACTCTCCTTGTATTCCTCTTTTGGGATTTGTCCAATGTGTATATTTTCTTTAATTGTTTCCAATTCAAAACCATTTTTATTAATTATCTTCACTTAAATAATGCACCAATTTTATTTTTTACTAGTGCAAGTTAATTGATTTCTTACTTTACAGAACACTAATGCCTCACACACAAATGGCAAATCCCTGTAGCACTCTTGGCCATTTTTGCTTTTGGTATTTTTTTTTTCCTATTTCTTCAAGACACTATGATTAATCATGTTAAACTGATGTTAAAATGATTTTTAAGAGATGTTAGCATAAAACTTTCTTCAAAGTGGTCATAGCCATTTCATAGTAACACTGGCCTGAAGAATCAGTCATTGGTGGTCACCAGGAGTGTGCCCTTCCTGCATCATTCTGATTCAGCTTTTCACCTCTTGCAGTCATTCTCTTCTGCCCGTGATCCAGTCTGTTGGTTAGATGATGTTAAAATCAACTTCCAAATGAAGTTAAAACCAGCATACAAAACCAATCCTGCTTCATTTCCATTTCTCTGTGTACTTCTTGCAGCTTTCCATGGCAGCCTGTCAGGATATTATGTTGGGATATTTCATCTGTCTTCAAGCAGTTTCCATTGGGCATGGAGAGCTCGGCCACCTCTACCACAGAACTCCTGAGACTCTGGCTGCCTAGTCATTCACAGGGGTCTTAGACATTTCTTCAGCTGGAATAACACATTTGCTAAGACATCCATCTAATATGGAAAAACCCAAACTCTACTGGGTGCACAGATTTGGGGGGTTTTCACCTCAGAGCCCAGTTCTGTCTGAGAGAAGTTAGCAATAGTTTATTTTGAATAGGCTCCCAAGAGCGAGTCCCAGTCTTTGCTCTGAACCTCTGGAAACAGAACAGGCAAGACTGCTCAATATTTTTATAACATAATACAGCAAGATGGGAGGAGGGAGAGCAAAGGTGCAAAATGCAGTAGTCTTTCAGATACTGGCCACAACATGATCACAAACAACTATGTACATCTGTAAAGCAACAGGCTCTCGGGCACAGTCAGTGCCTGCACCAGTACCTTCTTGTGGGCTGGGGTAGCAAAAACCACCCCTGCAGGTCTTCTTCCATCTCAGTCAGATGTAATAAGAGAAACATATTGTCTTCAGATAATCTTGGCATCTACGCAGTCATGCTATATCTTGAAATGGGGAAAAAATAATACAGCAGTGGCAAAACACAAGCCAAATTCATACAGTGTTTAGCAAAATGCAGTACTCCCTTATTACTGTGTCTCCTACGTGAACTTGAGCTTATGGTGGTGCAATCAGCACATCAGTTCCGTTTGCCTTGGTTGCTTTCTCCATTAATCAGGTTCTCTTGCTGCTCAGCCAAGGCTTGCCATTTCTGCCTGTTTTTTCTGCAGCCATCCAGCAAAGGGGAGCAGGCCTCTGACACGTGCGTTAGGGCCTGAAATACATTGAAAACATGGAAAACAAATCGCATTCAATTTTTAACTTAAAAATGGAGAATGAAACTCATCTCATAATTTTTTTCAGATTTCTGAACTTAGAGGAAGACTTGTGGATCATTAAATGCACTGGTTAGTTAACACAAGAGCTGGATACAGTTTGGACTAGGATCACTTGGGAACTGTAGATATAAGCAGCAGTAAATATTTTAGAGTAAATTATTCCAGTTTTTCTGATCTTTTCATAAATAGAAAGGTAAAGCTCCCCCCTAATAGGAAGAAATACAGACATTCACAGAAACACAGGCTCTAGAACTGTGGGCATTCAAGTCTGCTCAGGCGTTCTCTTAAAGTTTTCTGTTTGTCCAATCTGTATGTTTGGAGACACTCTCAGTCTTGTTTCAGGCCTACCTCCTGCTGGAGACAGTTTTCTGGGGCTTCAAAGCAAAGGCTGCCTTATTTTCCTGACAGTTTCTACAGCACAGAAGCACTTGATTTTCAGGGACAGCAGCTAGTAGCTCCCTTTCTCTATCCCTGTTTCCTTTGAACTGGTGAATGTGTGTTCTTTTCAGAAAAGCTAATTGTGTCAGAGGGAAAAATTCAAGTAATCATCCTGTTCCTTGCACTGGAAGGTTCTTAAGAATTCCGTTTTCTGTTCATCTCCTTTCTTTTTCTCACCTTGGTTTCTCTAAAATACTTGGTACAGTTCAAATAAACAGACCTTTGCTCCAATGTTGTACTGGGTTAAAAAAACCCCAGAAATCATTATGCTGTTTTTCACACTGGATTTGACCAAGCAGCTTCTCGTACAGTTTGTGACCAGGACAAAAAAGCATTTCAGTGAATTATCTCATGCAATGCTTTGGTGCGTGATGAAAGAGAAGGAAAAGAATGGGATGGGAAGTGTTAAAATTGGGTCCATTTCCTATACGTAGCATATCACCTTTTGTATAACGAATTCTGAATTCTTATAAACTTGTAAACACTTTCTGTCAATGCACTACCTGGATACCATTCTTTCCCTAGAGGTCAAAGCATTAGTTTTGCGACTTTCCCTGATAATCCAGAATATAACCCAAGGACATAACACCAATTGCAGAGAGCACAGCATTTTAACTAGGTTTAAAAAAATTGTGACAAAACATGTTAATCAGACAAATATACAACTAATTATAAATACTAAAATAATAATTTCTTCAACAGAATAATGAACCATATGTAATATAAAACAAAAAAATATTTTCTAACTAAGGGGCTAGTTTTTAATTTGATTTTTATTCTAATTGTAAATCTGTGTCTACCGGCAAGCAGCTCTGGTTTCATATATTTGTGGTTCTTCCTTAGGCACCATACCTCATACAGCTGCAAACAAACAGCATCTATGAATCCAACCTGCATGCTGGGAATTTTGTTTTTCTTCTCTCTGTTCATTAGATCCTGCAGATAATGAGAGAACAAATTCTGTGTTTAAATGTATTCAATATAAAACCCAACCAAAACCGAAGAGAGTGTGGAACTAAAAAGCAGCACCTTAAACAGCACAGCAAGCTCAGCACAGTGGGGTGTCATTACAGGTGTTAGAAGGAAGGGAATTGGACTGCATGACTTCCCTCAGGAGACTGGCTTGGGGTTGACAGAGCCCAAATATCCAGGCAAACTTACTGGGTTTGGATCGTTACATAAAGGTACCAACTTGACAATCTATTTCCTGGCCCAGTTAGTAACACTGACTTAAAGGAAATAATCCTGTCTGTTCTTCTGGTTCAGAAATAATGACAGACTGTTGGTGTTTTGGAACCACAGAACAAAACTGGCTTCTAGCAAGCCAGGGAAGGAGCTAGTCCTGCAGTGTGGTCAGTGGGAGAAATTTTAAGTGCCGTTTCCAAAAGACATTTTGCAAGAGGTGCCACTTACTGTGGGTTCTATGTTGAGTTCCTTCCGCTCTTTATCTCCTTGATCAAAGAACTCGGTAGCCACAAGCTCAGCAATCTGTAAGAGATTTCACTCATTGTGAGCTCTAAAAATTTGTTTGCTACCTACAAACAAGAGTGGTTCCTATCTCTCCTTAGGATATATCATATTAGCCCCCACACACATGGTGAGACTCCAGTTCAGCATTCCACCACTGCCTTTGCAGTAAGGACTGGGTGGACGAAACAAACTTGAATGCAGTTTGCATTTAGGAAACCTTAAAAATTAAACACATACCCGTTGCTGAACTGGCCATGGTTTAGTTATGGCTGATAAGTCACAAGCAGTCATCAGCATTGCTCTGCAGAACAAACAGAAAGAAAGGGATAAATTACTCTATGTGAAATCTATGTAGCCCCCAAGTCAAGTGACTGGTAAAATAGAATATAGAATTTCAAGGAACATCAAGTCAGAAAAACAACTGAAATTAGAGCAAAGTTATAAATCCAACTCCACATGCTATTTAAGAAAGTTTTTTATACAGGTTGCACTCTTAGTAGTTCAGACCCAGGGAGTTCAGTGATCCATGTGACAATGCCAGGTTGTACAGGCCCAGAGCACAAAGACCTGCTGGGTTTAATGAAGTTCACAGCAACATGGCATGGCAAACTGGCTACCGAGTAATATTAACTGATTTCATGATTATTCTGCTCTAACTTACAGAAATAGCTCCTTTTGTGAGGGATCTTCCATATTAAACTGCTTCTTCCTTAGAAGTTCAAAAAATTCTCCTCTCCTCCTTAAAAAGAAGTTAAAACAAAAGATTTTGCAGGATACTGACATGATGCTAATATCCAGCAGTGATTATTGAGCAAAAGTTTCTTCTGACTTACTTGATGTAGAGTGCCAGGTCTGTGGCAAGAATGGCTTGTTTTATCATTTTCAGTGTAGCCTTGTATTCTTCAATGGAAAGGCTGCTGAGAATCTGATTTCCCTTTACAAAAAAAGTCAAAACCAATGCTATCAGTAAAAAGGGCAACAGCACACCAGTTTGCTTAAGTATCTCTAAGTCACCAAATCATTATGAGTTGCTTGCTGATATCTGAGGTCATTCTTTTACCCTCCTTCCTCTTGCAGATTGCCTAGTTTAAAAACAAAACTTCCAGTCTTCCCAAGTAATGGCAGAAAGCTGCACAGCAGCAACACCATCACTGACTACTACAAAATGAAACGGCAAGCAGAGCAACATCAAAGCCTTTAAGTCCATTTTATTCATTAAAATTAAATTTGTCACTGGCTGTATCACAGCTTCTCTTTCCTCATCCTTCCCCTCCCTGAAGCAGAGGAATTATTCCCATACCTGCCCATACACCTCTAGTAAACAAAAATATTTTCCTTTTATGAAGCAGCATAAATAACAAGTTATTAAGTAAAAGTATGAACTCAGCAGCCTGCTACTAAACCAAAGCACTACAGAGCAGGAACTCGCCTCAATTGTTTTTCCATATTTGCCTACCTGAATAGGAAAGGATCGCTATACTACAAAGGATGCCAGAAGTACCACAACCTGTGGCACAAAAGGAGCAGTCCTTTGGAAGGATTGTGAATGCTAAATAACTGGTCTTGAGAATTAGTTAATAGCATCAAACAAGAAGAATGTAGTTTTATTTGCATATTTACTAAACTTAGGTTTGGCTTCACTTCGGAATGTCAACACAAGCAATGCTTGGTTTGGTCTCATCAGGGCTGCTTTGTGTATGTGTAGGCTGGAATGTTTTTGAAATGAGAGGAAGGACTGGGGTTTGTTTGGTAGTTCGTAAGAGGTCCTGAAAATGGCACAAAGCCTTTTGTTTCCTTTGGTGCAAGGAAGCAGGTACTCAGAAGGATGTTAGCAAGGCTTCCCTTATCAGGCAGCACTTGGAAGGCTTTGGTAGCACTCAGTAACAGAACTGTGATTTCCATGTTGCTGCATTTGCTTTCTTTACCCAAAAAGGAATAAAGAGCACTTTGGAACATGTAAGGGTGGGATTCTATCCAGAGGCTAAAAATAGAAAGTAAAATAGTTTCCTTCAGCATGCACAGCAATGTGGCACTCACTGGACTGTTCAGGATCATAAGGCATTGATCAAAATGATGATGCTCCATGATTGAGTGGCAATACAGCTGAGCCAGTGGATGTTCACTTCTGAGGAGGAAAGAGATGGAGAAATCAAATTAGACAAACATATTAGTGATCCAGATATAACTTCCCTTTTAACATCCTCTTTGAAGGAATATGGATAAAAAGATAATGCTGTTCCTTTGTCAGAGCACTTACAGCTCTGGTGTTCTGCCTTCTCTACCTATAGAGACCAGCAGCATGCAAGGAGCGACAAGGTAGTAAAAGGTTACATAAGGAGTGAAAGTTCCTCTGTAGAAAGCAAAGGCAACATGAAGAGTTCATTCACAAGCACAGTTTAGGAGACAGTTTTGGTTTCTGCAACATATTCTTAAATACTCTTAAACCAAATGTTCTTAACCTACCTGTCATATTTAGTCAGCTCAGCTGCTGACCTTGTAAGTAATAATGCAAACCTAATAGGAAATCCACTGATACCAAATGGAAAAATTCCTGCAGACCTCAGTGCAATATGGTGCTGGGCCCAAAATGTTGATCAAGTAATTTCCTTGTGTTCGTAACTATACTGGTGTTTCATCAGCACTGTTGTCATGACCAAACTACTGCAACATTGTTACCTACCCTTTGCCCAGGGTAAAATCCAAAAGGGAAACTGCTTACAGGCCAACAGTGATGTTGACTGTTCTACAGGCAGTGAAAAAAAAAAAAAGCAGGAAACCAAATTGTGTAGGTACAGAACCTAAAAATATCTTAGTGCAAAACTTAAAAGCATCTTAGTTTAGAAAATAGAATTTTCTATTTGAGTACCATTTGAGTAGAATTTGAGTAGCTTTAGTCAAAATAGGCAAACTCCTCTCTTGAGAATTTCCAATTTCTCCCTGTTCCTTGTTGCATAATACAGTTCTTGGTTTTTGCTGCTCTGTCTTAATTTTCAACCCCTGGTCCCACATTGCTCATGTAGTCTCTTCAACTAAATCTGGATTGTTTTTGGAAGTCTATTTGGTGATGATCCTGGATCTATTATTTTAATTATAATCTGACTTACAAATGTTAAATCAAGTCAGTAGCTCTTTTAGCATGTAATTCTGTGAGACTGTCTGTATGGTTAAAGACCATTCACAAGACTTAATGGCTGCAGGATTGGGCCCCTGTGTGAGTGAGCGCACAGAGGCTCAAATAAAAGTCATAAGAGGAGACTCTGGGGATTTAAGAAGCACAAAAATGTGGAGAGAAAGATGGAAAGACAAACAAAAACCCAGAAAGGAAGATGAAAGGATGCAAGCCCCTGAGGAATATGGGCTGGCTGCCCAGCACCTCCTCTGAGACCACCACAAAAGGGGCGTAGAGCAAATGTACTCTTGTGTTTCTTTAAGGAAACAAACCACAGGATGGTGCCAACACATGCTGGGTGAAATTCCCACTGAATGAAGTGGGATGCATATTGTGTGTCCCAGAGTTCATCCTGACTGGAGAGAGAAATATGTGAGAAATCTCTTAGGTTATCTTCCCAAAGTATTGCTCCAAACTAGAGCTTGCTTAGTACTCGCAGACCCTAACTGGGGCTGGAAATAAATTCAGGTCTGACTTCTGTAGTGGCACTTCAGTCAAACCCCCACTCCAGGCCAAAGGGCACTGTGGCTTTCTGAGCATAGGGGTTTGGTTATGCAGCTTTCTGTGCTTCCTACTTTGCATGTGGGATTGGAGCAAAAAGAAAATAACCCCCCCTGCATAACTACCAAAAGGCTTTCAAGCAGTTTCCTTTCTGTAACTTGTACTGCCAGGACCATTTCAATTTTTGAAACCCTGCTGCTTAAGAAAAAAATCATACACTGAATATCCACCCTCCCTGTTTCAAAGGAAAAAACAAAAGGGATCTGTTCCTAGAAATAACTTTTGTATTTAGGTTTAAAAAAAAATTCATGGAACTTGCTGTTGAGAAAGGAATTATTAAGCTATAGCCATCTCAGCTTTACAGCATGTGTAAATGTTAGATTTTGCTGTCTATGACACTTTCCCAGGACATTTTTGAGAGGAGATGACGCATCTCCAGATGTCTTCCAGGAAATTTATTTTTAAATAAATAAAGCAAAAAATAGCTAACTACTTCCAATCGCTGTGAGGCTACAGTTACTGCTGGAATCCTCTATTACCAAGCTAGAAAAAGATCACTATTCTAATGTTGTGGAGCTTGGTTTTTTTTCCTTTACATATCAGTCAGTGTTACTCCAAACACATCTGAAATGCAAGAGTTCTGCTTCAGCTTACTTTTTTTCTGCCTTTCAGTATTCTGTACCTTAAACAAGTTTTTCCTCCCCTATGATCTTACTTTACACATAGTGAGAACAGCAGACCACTTCTTCACAGGTCACTTCAAGACCATTCTCCAGCTCTGCCAGAAGGAGATGCACATTTCTGGGTATCTTTTGCCCATCTCTTGCCCAGGACACACTGCCATATCACAGGAATCACATTAAGCCACACTTGAAATCAACTGAAGACTCATATGTTGTTATTTGAAGTGATACCAAATTCACTTGATTGGGCACATTTTAAACTACTAATAAATTCTAAGTAGCTTTAGTTAAAAATGAAAATATGGGGAAAATTTTAGACTTGTTCTGATGTTTCATTCTGATAATTTCAAGCCAAATTATTTTGTTTAGTAAGAATTTTTTTCAGTGTTTTAAATATATTTTGCCTTTTTGTATTTTGTAAAGGCCTTTCTGTAATTCCAGATTGGATCAAAGTTAAAGAGTACAGATAAACCACAATCAATGCAAAACAACCATACATTTTTAATGTGATTTTAACTATGCCACTTATTCTAAACAACTTAGAATTCTGGAAAAACGTGGCTAAACCAAGAGTAAAACAATCTGAGTTCAAAACAATGGGAGACCCCTCTGTACCAGAGGGGTGCAGACCTCAGTGCTGTGTTGGCCTGGACAAGAAGTGAGCAGCTGGGTAGGGCAGGGAGTGATCTGAAAAGCTGCACATTTCCTACACACTGTCACTTGGAAGCTGCAGCCTTTTGCTGCCACTTGATGGGAAATCAGGGAGGGGACTTTGGGAGCAGGAAAACATTGTCCCTGCACAGCAAAGAGTTCACTTAATCTGCCATCATAGTTAGTCAGCAACTGAGGCAGTGCATCTTCTTCAAAAAGTTGTGAATGGTTCTGCGTGTTCCTACACTTTCTGCTTTGTGAAAACCTGCTCCTTTGCACAGCTCCACAATATCAAAGCAGTCAGGGTGTATCTAACTTAGCTCTGTGCTTAAGTTTGTTCACTCACTTGTTTTTATTTAACTTCTCTCAGACCCACTTACCTTTGTATGTAAGAGTTGTTCACTCCCCTGTGATCCAGATCATGGCTCAGAGTTGCTATCAGCAAAGCCAGCGTTTCTAAGTCAGTCAATTTGCTCTGTATGCAAAGAATAATGCCAGAAGTGAGTTCTGGATTGATTTACTACAACGTGTTTTACATCTGCTTTCTGAATAATGGGACCTGCTCTTAGTACAGTCAAAAGACAACTCAGTTTGGAAATGATTGATTTTATATTTCTGCTAGGAAGATGCATCTCCCAAGTGTTTGCCTTTCCCCTCAAACTAGAAAAAAATTGAATTATGTTCAATGCTGTTCAGACTCCAGAATCTAGGACATGAGAATCAGCAGGGAGTGAATCCAGTGTAGTTAAGAATAAACAATTTATGGAAATTGCAGTGGAGCCTGTCAGGATTCCAAAAATAGCAGGCAAACTATCAGGATCATCAGAGATGGCTCGACCGCACACAGAGCTAAACTACCACGTCCATTCCAACAGGGAGGGAAGATGGATGTCCTTGCTTTGGCCTCTTTTCAGCACCTTTTGTCATTTTCACTAGTGAGATAAAGTTTGTAGAGGAAAGAGGTGCCTCTTCCTCATTGGTATTGGGTTTTGACATACAAATGTTGAAAAGACATGTTTATTCAGAATGAACAGAAACATTCTGTTTCCTAAAAGAATATAAAACCAAAACATATAACCTGTTTTGCAAGAATTTAGAATCAGTGTTTTATTTATTTAGAGAATCATCTAGCCCTAATCAGAATGATTACATTGTTTTTTAAATTATTAGATGTCTTCTTAAGTGAAAGGTTGAAAATTTGTTCAAAAGCTTTGGAAGGAACATTTAAATATTTCTTTCTATGTTTTTATGTGCTGTTTTGTATCTAAAGCTGTACTCAGCTTTGCATTTGAACTTTAAAAAATTCCTGTTGAAAATTTTAAGGAAACATCCTGAAAATGGGTCAGCCTTTTTTTCTCTCTACTTTTTTGACTTGCTTGTAGCATAAGCATTAACTTTAAAAAAGGACATAACTACGTACGTGCCTTATTAGAGATATTCCCGTTGGGAACATCCCGATAACCGCTTCCAGAGGATTTAACTGAAACAGGCAACGAAAAACCACAGCAGCAGTTTCACAAACCAAGCCCTCATAGCCACAAGTCTTCAGCAGAAGGTTCCACTGGCAATACCATGGAATAATGAACATCTTACTGACCTGACAGTCAGAGCTGTGCATCATTAGAGAATTTGTCTTAATAGAGGAAATGGAAATGTACCTGAATTTTCCCAGATTTCAGAGCAGCAAACATGCACTGTGCTGTGTTGAAGGCATGTCTCCAGTTGTGATAAGCAACATTTTTCCGATAGTTTTTCTTCACACTTAAAATCCACCTGCAGAGAACCTTTAAGAAACAGCATCACATAGATATATTTTCATAAGAACAGATTTCTAACACATACAAATTTTCTTAATCCCACTTGAAAACTCTCTTACTAAAAAAAATAAAAATCCATCTAACTCAATTTCAAATTCAACTGTTTCATGCTTGTAACGTTGAACACAGATAATAACAGGCTTACACCCACTAGTACAGCTCCTATTTTAGTGTGTCATACTTGTGGGTTTGGGGTTTTATTGCTAAGGGTTAAATGTTAATGTCAGAAGCACTGCTGTTAATTCAGAAACTGTATGTTGAGATACCTGGAAGAAAAAAATCCTTGTTTGTCATGACATATTTGATAGAGAAAATTTATTTAGTTATTGAATTTGCTTAAGACTGGTTTTGAAAATAAACAGACAGCTTTTCCCTCCTATCAGCTTGCCAAAACCCAAGCAGAATTGGACTTGGGAAAGCAAATAAGTATGATAGAAAGATTACTACATTGCAGGCTATTTTCTTTTTTATGCAGGAGGAAAGCATGTCCTGGATGTTTTACTCAACAGTATTAGAAATTGTGGGTTATATAATTATATATATATATATATATATACACACGCGCACATATACACACACTTTCTTCCTACCTGTTTTTTTGTCAGGAAGTGACAGTATGAAGGTCAGGTAGTACTTTGATATTGGGACCTATTCCTTAAGGTTGTTCACCTTAGTACAGAGGTGAAGCTAAGTACTAGGATGTTCAAGGGATCAGATTAGATAATACAGCACTTTTGGCCCTTGGACACTACTAATCTAAATTGGTCTATAAACTGCTGATCTAGACAATAAATATATGCTTTCTTTAACTAATGTTAAAGAAATGTTGTAGGGCCTATGAAACCCTACAAATTGATCTTGCATTTTGATATAAATTCTGATGGGTTTGTTGAAAACGTTAAAAAGCAAAAATAAGGTATTTAGAAATGAAGGTTTCTACAAATAGATGTTGTGTGCATTGAGTGGAAGAGGCTGAAGAGATTTTTCTATTTTACTGGTCTTGATCACCTTAGAGAGATGTGTTGGTAAAAACCTTCAGGGAAATTCTCACAGCCCATCTATGTTATCATCTGCTTCAATCTTTACTATCTCCATATCCATGAAGTTCCTCCTCATCTCTAATCTATTATTTTGTAGGGAAAGACTAAGACAATTACTGCCTCATATGGACATAGTGAACAATGTTATTGTCCTCTTTGTAAGAGTTTTACACTTCCTGAGAAGTTGCTATCCTCTCTCTCCTCAGTATTCTGTTTCCCAGTCCATTAATCATAGACGGTAAAACGATTTATCCGTCAGTAGAACCAATCTCAGGACAGACCCCAATTCTTCATATGTCTTCCTGGTTTGCTAATTACTCCTTAATACAGATGTCCAATTCTATTTACAGTGAGATCATCTCACTACTCTGAATTCCTAATAATTAAGCTGTCTCTTTCTGTGGGGCAGTATTTGGCAGCAACCATACCTCATGTTTCATTTGGAAATTTTGCACCAGGTTGAGGTCTGTGAACATTCGAATGGTGCACAGTGTTGTTTCAAAGTCTGACAGCTCAAAGTCACTGAAGTAGAAGTCAGTCAGGTTGAGAGTTTGTGCAGATGGCACTACAGCAGCCTGGAGAAGAATGAGAGAACACAGCTTAGCGCTAGGGCAGAGAGAACAGAACAAATACCTGCTTTTTCAACAGACTAATTCAAAAGAGACACTCCATTTTACCTTCATGTGATACTGAAAACTGATGATTGCTTCTCATATACTTCCCCACGCCTCTCTTGTTTAACTTTACCTTGTATTTAACAAGCACTTGTCCATAGATCAGGAGAAAAAGGGTAGAATTACCTGGTCAGTCTAGTTATCTACATCACCAGAGGCAAATTGTAACCAATAATATGGATGAAATTGAGAGAAGGAGAAAATAAGGCAGTGGAGTTGCATGTTTGTTTTTATGGATATGCAGAGAGCAAAATCCGTAACTCGTAACTGTTGGCATTTTTCTAAAAATGGTGAGGAAAGAGATGTCAGTAAAACCGATTTGCTAACAGAATCCACATTCAGCACGATGGGAGTCAGAACATGTCCACAGGCAGAGCTTTCTCAGGGCTAGAAACCTGAAAAATTAGAGTTCATTTGTGATCAGTAATCTTTAAAACCCGTGGTCGGTGGTTTTGGTGCAGTTTGCATACAACCATAAATCTTCAATGTGAAATTTGAAACTACAAGGTACACAATACACCCGCTATCCTGCATGTTTTTAAATCTGAGTTTTTCATTGTCAGTAATATCTCCATGTATTACATCCCACTTCTAGTTATAAAATACAGAGTATTTCTATCTGTTGCCCTTCAAAATACCAGCGTTGAGGTTATGCTAAGTCTTATATTAACTCTCATACTAACAAAATAAATGCTACATCTTATACTATAGAACAAAATGTAGTATCATTTACTGCAGTAGAAGACAATGTGGGGTTCTCACTGCTACTGCTTTAGAGCTGTTTCACCTCAATATGAGTGTGGTCCAAAGAAAATCAAGTAAATCTGAAATGGTGAAGGAAATAAACCTTTGTGTTTATCTTCCTCTTTGTAATTCTGGGGGAAAACATTTCTCCAGTGTGGGCAGCTGTGTCCCAGAAGGCCGAGGAACTGAAAAGGAAGCATTTGTCATAATCTACAACATTAATACATGTAACATGCAAATCCATGGACTTATGGCTGTCAGCTTCTGTTCCATATCAGTTTGCTGTCCTCTCTCTTGTGTGTCAGAATCAGGAAGTCACAGAAGATTATGAAAAAAATATTGACACAGGGAAAAAACGCACCCTTCTTACACATTTCTTCTGCCACTAGTTTTATGTCCCTGTTTGGATTCATGTGGGATTTCAGCTGTGAGCACATGAAAGGCCTGCATGTTCAGTGGTAAATAATGCAACTGTTCAGCAAAGCTACTGACATAATTTTGAAAAACTGCAACTGCAGGCTGGGGTTTTACAAGGAAAGGGGCTGCAAGGACACAGAAGGAGCTCAAAAGAACACCTCACACCTCACTTCATTCATAATTTACCTTTCCCTTCCTTGATATCTTGCCTTTTACAGCCACAACATTAAGTTTCATTTCAGCTGAAATATAAAAACCCTGCACTCTATAACAGTTTAAAGTGTTGTTTAACCAGATTAGCCTATTTCCTTTTTCACTTAATGAAGCCACTAGAGCCTTCTGCCTCCTGTTTTAGAATATGAAAGTTCATCAGCTATTTTAATTTCAATTTATTGAAATGGTTTCTCTAAATACATTGGCAGCAAAAAGAAGCCTATGGAAAATGTGGGACCACTGTGTGGCAACTACAAAGAGTTTTGCTTTATTTCATCTGCTTTGGAAGATAAAACACAGGCTGTAGACAGTACCCAGGCTCAAAGGAGGTGACTGATACAATAGGACAGTTCTGCAGTATTTCGAAATGATGACTAAAGTAAAAAAATTTGACTGCAGCCTACTCAATACGGCAGCTAATTAATAGAGTAGAATAGTGCCAGTTGGAAGAGCCCTACAACCATCTTCTAGTCCAAATGCCTGATAAGTATATATTTTCAGGTTATTTAGAAGGAAAAGGTATATTCAGAAAAAAATTCACATTATTTTGGCCATCTTCATATGACAATATGAGAGCAAAAAATAAAAACTAAAATAAAAATTTTATGAATGCAAATAAAAGGCCTGTGCTTGTGCTCTGGAATCACCTTAGAAGCAGTGGCTGACACAGGCCAGGACTGTGCTAGGAAGCTGTGGACAACTCAGCCATGCCAGTGGACACTGGCCCAGTTCTTTGCTGTGGTTCTGTTTCATTGAGCAGTAACAGTGGAATCACAAAGATTTCATCACAAGCCCTGAGGAGAAACCTTAGGAGAGGAGTTGCACTCTGGTCTTGTCATGGCCCTTTATTGATGAGCAGCAGTGTGATAGGACTGAGGTTCAAAAATCCGTGTGACACCATTCTAGAAATATCCTTATTCCCACACCTTGTTGTGTCACTTGGCCAGACCATCCCATGCTACCCAGCTCATGGTCCCCTATGCCTGCCTTCCTCTCCATCCCTCCTGTTTGTTTTTGTGCAGCAGGGGTGATTTTATTTCCCTGGAATAGCTGCTGAAGGCTTGGAGAACCTAAGCACATGCTGTGCTTTGAAAAGCACTTGAAATCCTAGCTGTAGTTATTCCTTAGGCAGTGGCTCCTAAACACAGAATTAAACATGAGCAGACAGGACACTGCACAGAAAAGCAACTAGAAAAAAATTTAAAATCCTTGCATTAAAAATTCAATACAGAGTTTATATGTAAGGCCATAAAGCTGCAGCCATACTTGGGATATTTGAAAGGGACAAAAGCTGTAAGATATACAGCGTTCAGACTTAGCTGCAGAATGAAGAGTCCTCAACATTTTGCTTCTGGAATACTTAATCATTAAGAGTTTGATACTGACATTGCACCAGTGACTGTCTCAAACTCCAGAGGAAAATCAGTTAGCACAGGTCTGGGTCTCACAGTGCTCTGGCCAGCTTTTGTCTCTCACTGTAGACATGATAATATTTCCCTTTTATGTGATTCAGCTCAGGAACCCATCAGGATGGGCTTCACTGTCATTTTTATTTCTGGCACATATGCTTCTGCCCCTTTAGGGTTGACATCTGTGTACAGGACTGCTCTTGGTTGTTCTACTAAAGCAATATTTCTAAAGGTAATAGTAAAAAATGCAATTACCACTGTTACCTGCAGCTCCCTCGTTTCCTCCTCAGCAGCAGAAGCATGGTATGAGAGAACCTACAGGAAGAAAAAGCAGTCCTTAGTACAAAGAAAAAAGCCATATGATAACAAGGTACTTTTCCTAGAGCAGACTTTTCAGCATTCCACTGCATTTGCTGATGAAATTTGCTGTCCATGCAGGGCCCGAGCAAGTTTTAGGGGAGCTCTCTGAATGCATAGATATCTGCATCTTTTACAAATCTCCCACAGCACAGAGTCTTCTTGAGATAATTAGGCCAAGAAAACATAAATAGCTTCTATGAAAGACCAAAGAACTCTGATTTTCTCTTTGAAAAGTTTTCACGGCCCACTTTCAAAGGCAAATAATGCATGAAACAGCTCTTATTATGAGCCTGACATTATAGCCATAGGAATTCTTTCAAGAGTTTATTCAGACATGAAAGCAAGTTTTACCCTAACTGAAATTTGGCACAAAAGTCTGAAAGACAATACATTCATTTTAAATTAAAAAAATAAGCTCAGATTTTTAACTATCGAGAACATATGACATGAAAATGTTACAGAGTTTTATTTTTTTGTAAAGAACCCATTTAATACACTAACCTATAATCTGGCTGGAACTTCCTATAGCATCTATGAAGTGCTATAGTTGGAGACAGAATTGCTAATTTGCCATATAAGCAAATGATTTGGACAATAGTTTTACCAGCTTTTTATTTAACATGACCTAATACAGGTTTATTTGAGAACTGTAATGTTTCTTTTAGAGGCCACAGGGCACATAATCCCATTTTAGGAGCTCTGCAAAACACTCTGTTTACATAATGGATGTTAGGAGATCCAAAGTCTGCACATTTTTCACTTTCAGCTTCAAGTTATCACCCTATAAGTGAGTAATTCAGTTTCTCAGACTAAAGCCCTCTTCAGCTGTGAAGCTTAACAGGAACCAATTTAAAGGCTGTGACCAGATGATGTTCATCTTGATATGGTTTGATGGAGTCTGAGGAAATGGCTGAGAACCTACAATAATGCTGCAGTTAACTCCTCACACTGGTTTGTCTGAAGGACTGAGCCAAAATCATCACCAAAACGCTCAGACAAGAAGAGGAAACGCCTTCCTCTGCCAAACCCTTTCTCCCTCCCTACGCAGCAGAACGCACCCACTGGGCTGCCAGCATGCAGCCTCGTGGAGAGGAAGAGATGCCTCCAGCTCCCCACTCAATCTCAGGAGTAAAGTTAAGACACAATACCAAATCAAGAGTCTGCTGGCAGAGTCAGAAACAAGCAGAAAATTCCTGAGCAACTCAACAGTCCAAATGCTGCTCTCCTGAGGGATAACAATCTCTGTTGAGTGTCCCTGTGAGTAGCTGCACTTACATGCAGAACAGAGAGGGTCTGGGGAACATTAGGATCTGTTTGGGGCTAGTTAAGGACCACCTAGATTTGGGCTCACCTCTAGTGTCACCATCTGTTTGGCCATGGCTCTTTCTACAGCCTCGTACATCTGTGTGTTCTGGATCCCCAGGCCACAAAAGATGACAAATGCTTCCAGGAACTCCTCATCATTTCTGTTGAAAGCCTTGATTTTTCCTGAGTTTTCTTCCATCTTATTCACAAGCTGGCAGACTCCTATGTCAGGACACAGAAACGAAAGGAAGTGATACAGAGAACATATCACCATCAAGAATTAAGTTTAGGAAAGATAAGCCTACAGTATAACCACCAACATACATAAGTGACACATAGGAATGTTGTAGGATTTCCCTTTTTTTTCCCTCCCAAAGGGCAGTTTCAATGTATTATAAAATAAATGTTAGAATTTTATATATACATAATAAACTCAAAAGTACTTATTAGGATTTGTAAACCAAAAATGTAGGGCTTTAGAGGTTTGATTGCCCTGTGAAATTCTAGGGTTGTTTTCATCCTAACTTTTATTATTAATACTATTCTAGATTGATATAATCCCTAAAGACAATTTGTCCTTTGGAGGCTAATTAAATTTTTGCAACCATGCCAAAAGAACATTTATCAAAGTCAGAACAGTGGTACACAGAGTTTTCACTTCCTCATTTGAGCCAATACTAGGATTTTTTTCAAGTAAATGAGCTAAACAGGGAATACCCAATATGAGGTTCAAAGCTGAAGTACACTCGGCCTTTTTTTGAGGATGTAGTTGAATTAGAGCCTCTTGCAAACGCTACTGAACTCCTTGAGAAACATCTGACTGAATTCAGCTTAGGTTCAAATGTGCTGATACTTACATTTGTTAATTTTGTGTTAAGAATTTCTGGGCCTTTCTGCACACATGTCATTGAAGAAGTCTGACAGGTAACTTCTACCACACCTTGCTGCAGTTTAAATCCCTGATACCAATGTGAGGAGGGGGAAATTCAGAAATACACCTGCCCTCAGTTTTACCTGCTAAGATCAGAATATTAATTAAAGCAGCTGAATTCAGGAAGATATTTTCTTTGGCAACTATTACTGTCTTAACAGAGTACAAATGTTTTCTCACTGCCCTGAGCAAAAAAGTTGCATTTTCCTGGCCAAGTACCAAGATAGCCCAGCTGCAAATGAAAAATTCTGAAAAAAGTTACCACGTATGCATCTTCCCTATTAGAGTAGATAATAAAACTAAGGAAAAAAATGTAGCACACACAAACTGTGGTTTTAGAAGAATGTTGGCCTCACAAGTTTTGATGTCTGGTGACAATGCAACATTGTCCTGTTTCTAAATTGTACTTTGTTTGGGGAACTTTGTATTGGAGTCTCCTCTAAAGAGACCAAGACCATTATAGGTGTAACCATTGAGTGTAATGGCAGGGATTGGGGTATCTGAATATGGCAAACAGAATTCTGAACCTTTATGGAATGAGATGGAAAGGAATGGATCATTGAATCACATAATCCCATTAGAAAAGAATTCATTCAAATAAGGAACAAGATTAACTTTCCCTGGGAAAAAAGAAGCTGATTTACAAAACTCTTCAGGAAAATCCCATGAAACTGACCTTCATATTTCTGTTTAGTACATCTTATGACATTATAATTATTTCCATAGCAACTGTGATGTAATGAACACAAGATGAAGACATTGAATATGCCACAAAAGTAAGTCAATTCTTAAAAGACACAGTATTTGCACATAAATGTCTCTTTAAAAAATAGAGAACTGCAGTAAATATACTGTGTATTACTTAAAACTCTTGAACCTCTTTCAAAAGCTTCCCCAAAGCACTGAGAGGTCCATTGATTACAAACGAAGGAACTCCAAAGTCTTTCATTGGAACAGAGTTATAAAATCACAGCAAGATTGTGTAAAGCTTTTACCACATACCTGAGAAATGTACAGGTCAGGAGAATAAAGTTCTTTTCATCTTTCTTGCTAGTAAGATTTGCTCGGGTTTCATGTGGACAGTTTTTCTTACCCCCATCCCACTTCCCAAATTCTGGTTTGGGGCATCCTAATCTTAAAAATAATTTTAAAAAGAAACCAGACTTATAGTAATAGTCATACATGCTATGTAGTATTGTAAAGGAACTTCTGGGTACTATCCCAAAGAAAACTTCTTGACCTTGCCCTATGAAATAATTGAACATGAGGCAGCTGTGAAACTATAAAATACTTCAAAGAAAATTTCCCAATGAGAATGGCTCAGATTTGAAAAGCCCACCTAAATGGGTGGCCTGACTGAAACTGTCAATTTGAACTTCAATAGGAAATCTCAATAGAAAAATAGAAGCAGATACAAGTGTTTTATCAATAGCTCTCAGCATGGTGAAAAATCCCTAATTAAAGCTCTACAGTTCAGTCTTCATTTTGGTCTTCTAGGGATTGTTGGAATATTTAAAGTAATAAAAGAACTCATGAAAGAAGCTAATAGCAAAAGAAATTGCAGAGAACTCAAAAGAGATTTCAGAGAACTCCATTAGATAAAGATGAGGTTTCTCGTACTGCCTCAGATGTTAAAAAAACTAAATCTGTCTTCACAAAAAAGGGACATCATATTAATTCTATAAATTGGGCCACGCAGTTTTGCCATCATTCTCAAAGAAAATTATTATAAGATCATTAAAAAGTCATTCTCGGAACTCTTAATATTTACTTGCCAAATTTTTTAAAGCTGATGAAATTGGATCCGTTCTCCTATCTAAGAATCAGCATATGTTATTTTCTGTTTGTTTGTGGGGCTTACTGATGCCAGGAACAAAGGCTGACACTCATTTTCTACTCTTTAGCAGCTTGTTAGGTGAGCAATTTATACTCAAGGTTGCAGTAGACTTATTAGTTGAGAACATGATAATTAAGGATCTTCTCTCCTGGCTTGAGACTGCATGTTGCTGTGATTTTATCATGGAGCACATAAATTTACCTATGAAATGTACAGCATTATTTTTGTTAAGATACCTACCTATCACTTTATTCTTTTTCCCATTTTTTATTGGTGTACACAGCAAACTCTTTATGCTCCGACTTAGATTTTCTGCACTGTCATTCTGTTAAACAAACAGAAAAATACAGTTACAATTTTAAAAGCTGCTTTTCAGGTGGCTGAAGTGAAAAAGTTGTAGAGCTGGGCTCTACAACTACTCTTGGCTTACATCTTCCTTCAAAAGGCAACCAGGTGATCAATGAGTTTGCCCACAAACAGCAGGCAGAAAAACTACTACAGCTGGGTCAGCATTCTGTCCTCTTCCCAGGACTTTGCAGCATGTCCCATGCTCCAACAGAAGGAGATGAACTTATTTGGGAAGTGGAAGGATAGAACAAAGAGATAACGCCTCCTTTTCAAACACCTGGGGAGAAAAGGCCACAGCTCTGCTCTGACTGCCCTGGGAATAATGTGGCAGTTGTTGAGAAATACATTTGGTCTGACCTCCAATTGTGTGTGGCACCAAAAGAAATGGGCACACTGTAATATTTCTGATCAAAAGATTGTCTTTTTTTTTATATTGTTGGTTTGTGCTCTGCTGCTGTGCAAGGACTATAGAGAGTATCTTGGCAGGATTTTCATGAGGCAAGCGTGCTGTTGACTGTCCTCCAAAGAAAGAGGCAATGCAAGGTTTCTAGGGCACTGGCAACACCTGGGATTTCCCTCATGTCAGGGTGCATCAGCTTTCAAAACATTTATCCTACTGCCCTGCTCCTGCACGAGTGCAAGTGCCGTCTCTGTGTTGCTGAAAAACATTTCCAGATTCCTTCTAAAAGCACTATTGCTTTCTTTTTATGGGTTTCTTTTACATACATAAGGTGAATTCCAGGAAAAAGAAAAGAATCAAAATAACTCTAATCCTACTGGACAGCCTGTTTCCAACAAACAGTTGTTTGGATGATTCTCAAGATATTATTTTTATATGTCTTCAAAATCATCACCTCATTATTAATCTATAATGTATATCCCATTGGATTCTGTCTGTACTTCCAGTCCTGCTGTTAAGACAGGGTTAGTCTGAGAACTCAATTCCTTTGTTGCTCAATCTGTCACAGAAACCCACTCCAGAACATCCAAGAAGCCTTGCACAGGAAAAGAAAGGGAAACAACCCAGCTCCCCACCAGGAGCCTGCCCCTTCTTTCCACTTACTGGAACAATCACACTGAGCACTGTCTTTTCTGATCATTTTGTTGTGTATCTCAGAACAAATTTTGGTAAAAAGCCATCTGCTGGGCCACAGTAGCTCCTCTCCCCTCTTGCCAACAGGCTTAAATGGTAAGAGCAGACGGATTTCTAATTTGTGCATTGAAAATATGGGAAGATACATAATTAAAAATTTGCTTTTTGCTGATGATGACCATGAAGGAAACCTGACTGGAACCTGAGCCTTGCCAAGTGACCTTTCCTCCTCACTCTCCAGTATCCCTGTGCTCAGTCATCCACTGCATCACCAGCTCACACTTGAGGAAGTGTTAGGCAAAAGCTCCCAGAGAAAAGTGAAGTTGATCCATCTCAACTGCAGCAAAGAACTTGCATCTATAACATTAATCTTTGCCAGAACGAGAAGGGAAAGGAAAGGATAAAAAGGAAGGAACTTCTGAGAGCCTCCCAACACTCACTGTGTGTTTACACCATTTTAACTGGAGCCACCTTGACAGAAATCAGAGGAAAGCAAAAAAGGTTAAAAAGTTAAACAGAAAAACATTTTCCATTTCTGAATTTCAAGCTTAAGCTTATTTTACTTACTGTCCATGGAAATCTTCTGTCTTTGCAGACATCTGGGATGTTGAGTGGCTCCATCGTATTCTTCACATACTGAGCATACATGTAATTGATTTTGTTTGTGTCATAGTCCCTGAAGGATACAACATTATTATTATTATTATTATTATGTGCTTTACATACAAGTGAGTCATTTCATTAGGCTAAGCAGGTAATAGGAATATCTTTCCCATATGAGAGAAGGATAAATAGATACCACCAATAGATATATAATGGAGTTGAGTTCAAATCCTGTATCCTAATCCAGCTGTCATCACAAAACTGCAGCATGGATTGTTGCATGCTTTCCACCATTTCTTTAATGTTCAACAACATTAACACTGAACATCAAACTGAAGAAATAAACAATTCCCTACAGTTTACACAGATGAAGGATAAAGAATGAACAGCTGGGTTTTTATGGAAATAAACAGAACAATTTGAAAACAAACTGCATTCACAAATCTGGTACTCCTGAAAAACCAATGTTGGGTGAAATTCACATACTAGTTCAAGAGAGTGCAGCAGGTGTCACTTGTGAATTTTCTGCTGCTAAGTTAATTTCAAATTTGTTCTAAAAGTAAAGACAGTCACATGGAGGCTCTGTTACTGAAATAGAACTGTCTATTCCAAATCAGGACATAAAGCATCTTCACAGAATCAATCATCTCCTCTTTTTTAGCGGCGATTTATTTAAGGTATTTTAATTCTCTTAGACCCTTTGCCTGCCTTGGAGGAGGACATATACCTTATTTATAAACCTATTCCCATCAAGCTCCTGTAGTTTCCCTCCAACACTTGGCTTGATTTTCGTTATCCTCCTGGTGTAAGGATGCTCTAGGGCTGGAGGAGAGGAATTATTCTTTTGTTATTTCACACATACAAGGCAATGCCCCACAGTTTTGAAAAACAGTCTGATTTGGGCCTTGATTCTGTGTCCTTGATTGCATAACAAGCCTGAAATCTTATATTATGTAAAGTAATACTTCCCATCTAATCCATGTCATTATATTTCTGCTCTTGCCTGAAATTGTGCCCTTCAAGCATAGCAGAAGTTGTAACTGCAGTGGTTGACTCACAGTGCAAACCTAGGCATTTAATTGTGCTGTCTCATGAACAGGAGTCTGATAGGCAGCTAAGGCTCCAAGATTCCTCTTCCCTATCAGGTATGAGAAATTATTTCCTGGCAGCCCATGCAAGCAATAAATAACATTTTAAGTCCATTAACAAGTCACCATAAAAGGGATAATGAGGAAGAAGGCTCCATTCTTATAAACAAGAAGAGGACTGAAGAGGAATTTTCTTTTTCACCTATGATCTTAGCAGGCTGTTGTACCACTGTACTTTCTGGTTGAACACTGGCTAAAAGCTCAACAGCTTTTAGTTGCTCAAGTCACACACTTTGGACATCATTCTCTAACATAGGGAATTAAACTTAATGTGATAAATATTTACTGCAAAACAACATCAAAGGGGCTCAAATCTGTTTCCTCCCTGCACAAAATAGCTGTAGGAGAGTATTTTATATACAACTGTCTCTCTTTCTGACAGTATTTGAAACAACTGTTTTTGATGCCAGAGACAGTAATCTTCCAACTTCAATAGAGAGGTTCAGGCTAACTTTGGGAATGATTTTATCTGGGTATTTTAATTCAGCTCTTTATCTCTTTTTTTTCATCCAAGTTGAACTCCTTAGTGGTTTCCCAAAGATGAGCAAGAGTTAGAACTTTAGGACTCCAGTCTTGATTTAGTCAGACATGTTCTTGGAGCAATCTTCCTTATCTATGAGTTGAGGAAAACTATTAAAATAATTGATTAAAAGCATTATTTTGGTTATTATCTATTAATTTGCATATGTCTCCTTTGTAACACAGTCATCCACACAGATTTCTTTGCAATCAGTTTTAGGGCAGCTCCTCTGTGCATTTCCATAGCTCAGCCTTGAAATACAAATATGTTCTTAGACTGGCAAAGTGAATTGATCAAGCCCTACTCCTGCTCTGCTCAGTGGGACCTTGTTAAGCACCAGAGTTTGTCTATGCCCACTTCAGGGGAAAAGCTGCTCTATGAAAATAGCAGTAATACATGGGATCCAGTAAAAATAAGTCTGTTATTATGAAAAGAATACTAAAAGCATAAGTTTCTTCAGAATTCTCTTAGGATGAACAAAACTCAGAATTCATTGGTTTACCTCTTCAAATTTTCAGCTGAATCCTCTAATTCCTCAGATTCCATGTGAAAGACACTAGAAAACGTATCCTGGAACATCAAAAGGATGCTTGAATACACAGGTGTATAAAGTTGTCATTATTTAGAACAGTATTACTCATTAAAACCTTTTTGCAGTTATCAAGGCCTATTCTGTACTACAGACAAGTGTAAAATTCAGCTTCATTCCACATCTGTCATCTAGCATACTGGATCCTACCATAAAAGTATCTTTTAATACAACTTTAAGTATCATTGAAGTGTCTTGAATGTCTACTCATGACCCAGAGAAGATTTACAAGCTGTGCCAAATTGATATAGCAGAACAGAAATTCTGTAATTACACAAAGGCCAGAACCTCTCAGATCAACACCCAACCTGAGCAGATGCCATGAAAGGAAAGATAGAAAATGAAATGACAAGGGAACATATGAGACTGGAGGGAAGCCAAGCCCACTCCCAGGGAATAAACACTTCTGCCTTCAAACAGAATAAACATACTCACTGGACAATCTTCATCCACTATGAAGATGGTACACCTCTGCACCTGCATGAAGGATATTATAGTGGCTGCTATCTTCTTCAGGATCACCTCCAAAGACTGCTGCTCTTCAAAAATCAGGCTGGCAAGGTCAAGAAGCACCTGAACAAGAGGTCATTTGTGAGGGTTTGACTAATTATGATTGATGCAATAATTATTGCTGCTGATGTCTTGGAGTCTTCTCCTCTCCCCTGAATCAGGGAAGCCAATGTTTATGTCTGTGACCAGAAGTAAGTTTGGCTCTCAGAGATTTCAAGGTAACAGTGGCTGTTAGCCAGTTTGACACTTTTTATGGAAGAATTAAATAGCACTATAAGCTGTCTGATGTTTTCATGCAGAGAAGCAGAAGAGATTTAGGCACTAATAGGTCAAATGAAACCTGTGAAATCCAGACAGAGTTACTTGCTCTTAGGAAACCTATTTTCCTATGGCTTATGTGTGCATTCTCAAACCACTGATTTTTTTAAGACTTCTGAACAGTTTTTCTTGGCTGTAATTCTAACAGATCCTAATTAACTTATTTGGTGCAAACATCATTTAGATACAGTCTGCTGTTTTTCAAAGCTGCTGTTGAAAGATTTAGCTGCTCATATATGCTCATATTTTTTTTTCCTCACAAGGAACATGAAAGCATTTCATAAACTGTCCAAATTTGTACCAATTTACAGACACTGATAGCTGGAAACTCAGACCTACTAGGAAAGTTTTAAAAGAACTGCTGTCTAGTCTTTTCTCTGAAACATTACCACATGATACAGGGAAAGCATATTCACCCATAAAGGCCATGGCATTAATAACCCATCAAAACCAAGTTGGCAGCAAAGTAAAGCTATAGCAATCAGAAGGATTTCAGTTTTCCATTTGATCATTACTGAAAATATAGTTTATGACTGTTACACTAAAGGAACAGTCTGTATGCCCTCTGCTATTCCACAGGGATATTCCTGCCTGGAATTTCTGGAGTCTGACACCTCTGGTTATTTAATACATACAGTGAAGCACAGGATAACTGCAGGCAGTATCAAGTATATTAACATGGAACAAATTTTCTGACATCTGGCTCTACCTGCTTCCCCTAGGCAGGCCGTTTCTCACAGCCCAGGCTGGAATGCACCCAGCCTGTTCCCAGTGCAGCCCAGGAGAGCTTTGTCAGAACCACACAGCATTCAGTCATTCAGGGATTAAAAGCAGCCAAGGAATAACTACCACATCACACACAGGAAGAGGAAGTGCTGATTACTTGCAAACCTTCCTGATTTCTGTATCCCTGGACAAACCTGTTGGCCGTACCTGATTGCGCCTGTTCTCGAGCAGAGACGTCTCATACAACTGAGCGTTGTGAAGAACAATCCCACAAAATGCCAAATACGCCGCAAAATCCTGGAGACAAATGAACATGCACATCTCACAGAGATAATGTCCCACAGCATTTGAACTCTATTCAAAGATAAGCTACTGCAGCATTTTGCTTACACTCTAAAGTACTAATTGATATTTTTGTTGGTTTTGGCAACCACACGTTCAGTATCTGGGTTTTTTTCAGCTACTCATAATTTCTTATTTCCTCAAGAATCCCTTCTCCTTTTATTTAGCTAAAATCTGAAGATTGTTATCTTGGTACAAGTAGGGTTCATCTGAAAAGCAGCTTCAAGGAAAGAATAATTGTGCAGCAATGCATATTTTAGCTAGAAAAACTGACCACAGACAACCAGCCTCTCTGAGGGAATTCAGTCTCTTATGAAGTGAAAATAAAAATTTTCTAAAATAGCAAACCCACAGGTTTTTCCTCATTCAGGATAGGATTAATTCGGATATCCTAAAAATACTCAGTGTACATTTTATTTTAAAGGGGAAGTTTTTGGAGAGAAAGGATGAATTCTGATTCTTTTATTGCTGATTGTTAAGTCAACTTCTTCAGCCTGAGCAGAGCCTGGGCTTTGCCCTGCCAATCTGAACATGAAGTCTGGAAATTTTTGGAAAGCAACAACACTGGGAGAATTAGGAATCCATTCTATTGTCTATTCTCCTGATTCTTTCATATACTCATAATTTATCTGAAGCTTTTCCTTCTCCTGCAAATACTATACTGAGAAGTGACATGGTATTTAAAAGAGAATCGCTCCACAAATGTCATTGCTCAAAATGTGCTTCTTGGGCTTGCCAGGAGAGTTAGAATCAAGTAATTTAAAATTATGTCCATTGAAATCTATGAAAGTGTTTTACAATGCATTTCAGTAGAGTAAGCCTGTGTTTCAGAGATACATGACATGGTGATCCAGAAATTAAATTATTTCATGGGCACATTTCTCATGGCCTCAAAGAAAGAAAAATATCTGCAGTATTTCCATGAATGTTCACAATCTCACAGGTGTTTAATTTTAAATGACTTAAAAATTTCTGAGTAGCAGGAAAATTAAAAACATATCTTTTGCCTTCCCCTAAGAAAACAGAAAAGACAAACGTGCAGCTTTTATACCTTTTCATCTTGTTCAGTGAAAGTGCCGCCAATTCCAGATTTCTTGTTGATTGCTTGAGCCACACCAACAACCTAGTGTATTAAAAATGGAGAAATTAGCTAATTTTAGGGGTCTGTCACTGAATTCTATTTCCAGGCATAATTATGTAAGATAATAAAGGATCATTACAGGTATTCGCTTGGTTCACTATTGAATCAAATTGTTAGATATTCTCTCTCATGCAGAAACATTTCCTAGATTACAGGATTTGAAGACCTTAGCCTTTCCCTCATATAATTCTGTGTTCTCATTCCTTTTGAGACAAAGTATTATTAATCTGACAAAGTACAACGCAAAGCTTTTAGATATTTTCAGATTTTTAGCATAATTACAACAACTGATAGAAAAAGCCGCAAAGAACTGCTTTTGTTTGAAGTGTAATTAGTGTAAAACCAATGCAAAATGCTAATGATTTTTTTTTAATCTTGCTTTTTTAGGATATACACTATCAAAGGAAAACTGTGTGGTGAGCATGTTTAACAAGTTGGATTTAACCATTCATAGTAAAGCTGTAACTGCTAAACTGATGGAAGACATGTGGTTTTGTTTTTGTAATGGAAAAGAAGACAATTTACTATTGCTCACTCCAGCATTCCCAAAATTCTGATGCTGTAAGTAAGGCCATTGTTCTTTAACATGAACCACTGCCAGCCGTAGGCTCAAAAATGTCTGTCTGAAATCAAGTTCAACTGTCAGCTCCATTCCATACAACCCCAATTTTCCCACAGTCAATCTCTTACTTCAGTGAGGAATATTTCTTATCCAGTGGAATTCCTTTCTGTAATAACAGTGTACCACCAGCCTGTGTGCTCCTCTGGCAGACTTTGAATTAAAGTTATTATGCTTTTATGTTCACCTACATGAGCAGAGGTTAATGCTTAGACCTCTTCTTATGCAACTGTCTCTCCTGGGTGCTGATTTAATTTTTTTTCCCAGTTTTGATCCAGCATGAGCTAAGACAACTTTAGCAAGGCCAAAGGCTTTTCACCCAAAAGGTGAGCACTTTCATGTTGGTTGTTTAAATACATCCCCTCCAAGAAAGGAAAGTCTGCAGTGCTTAAAAAAAAGCTACAAGAAAACAGTAAAAGGACCATATTAATACAGAAAAAAAAAGACTATTTAGGCTCCTTTCATCAGCATTCCAGGTTTCAGACACATTAACAAAGGCAGGTGTTCTAAGAGCAATGGTCAGTTTTAGATCTTTGATAAGGTCTTTCAATAAGGGATTTTAACTGAAGGGGAAGGATGTAATAAGGAGAATAAACCTGCTAAAAATTCATGTTGACTTGATTAGGATGAAAATTTTGTGCATATGCAAACCTTCCTCTTTTTAGTTGCTGTTTCATGGCATTCTAAGCTTCCAGACAGCCGTGTTGTGCCCATTTCTTTTTCATACAAAATGAACAATTAAAAAAACTTATACTGGCCCAAATTCTGGCTTCCTTTATGTCAGTTAAAATTTCAGTGCACTTTTCAGAATTCCATAGAATATGGTGCAGAGACAGTAATGAGAAAAACTTCAGTGGGGCATTTTTTAGCCATTGGAGTCTTGCCTGCAACCAGGTAATTAGGAGAAGATGTAGGAAACTCGAGAGGATCTGCTCCTGTTATTAAAGTAATTATATAATTAGGACGAAAGTCAATCATGTGGTAGCATTTGCAGCCATGGAGAACATATGCCTGCATTTTAGTGAACTTAAGCACAGTATGAAACCAATCCTCATTTTTAAAACTCATTCTAAACAAATCAAAAATAATAGGCCAAATCTGATCTCCAGCTGGGAGTTATGATTGCACCAGCAGAAAAACTGCATCAAAGGTGATCTAGTGCTCTAGGCTCAGCTAGACAGGGAACTAAAAAAATCTTAAGATATTACTCTGGACTGAAGGAAACCAAGACTAAGAGAAGGACTGAAGTCATTAGGATCTGCTTATGCTTTAGCACCTTTGAGTTTATGGCCTAATCACTGAAGTAAGCAGTGTACTGTGGAGTGCTACAAGCTCCTTTTTCTGAGCTTTCCCTCCACTTTGGACTAGACAGGTGGGGTTATAGAACACAGTCTGTCTAGAGGAGTCCTGTGTTACCAACAGGAGCCTTTTTCCAGGTTTGCTTTATTGAAAGAGCATAAGTGGTGAGCAGAAGGAAATTCCCCTTGGATCAGAAACCAAGTATTATGCTCTTTTCCATTCACATCACATAATACTGACATAGACCACAAAGACAAAAAGCAATTTTGATGATGGAATTGTTCCCTTACTTTCTGTTCCAAAGAAGAACAAACCTTGCATCAATTGCTGATTCAATACCCACATGTGTTTTACCATCTGAACACAGCTTTCCTGATTCTGTTCTTGCTGGTAACACAGGTGATCTTGCAGTGCTCTACTTGTTCTCTAACCTTTCTTTTCTAGCTGTGCTACTTTTCCAATTTAATAAATCCTGATCCACATTACAATGAGAGATTTCTTCTAATTAGCAGAACTTCATTTTTACTGGTTTTTTGCAATAGCTGAGTCCTGCTTCTCCAAGTAGAAGGCTACCTTGAGTGCCCAGTAGGTGACAACTGATGGCTTTAATGCTGGTGGCTGTGCTCTGGATTTTCTATGGGTGGTTTCATGCTGCAATTTTTTGCACATTAAAATTACAGGCCTAACTCTGTGAAAGCTATTCCAGCTCTAAAGGCAGCTGGGGACTTTTCAGTAGGTTCTTACTTAAGCTGACTTCTGATGTAATTAATATTGCTTCTTAAGGAGATATATTTTTTATTTACTTTGCTGGCATGTGAAGGAAAATCACATGAAAGCCAAAGAACGCTAACAAAAACGCGAAACCTGACATTTTTGCTAAGAGAAGATACCCACTACAGAAGACAAAGTAGCGTTGACTTTACTTTGCTCTCCTGGTTTTGTAGGGGTTGGATTCAAGCTTATAAAATTATCCTGCAGTGACAGAACTGTATTTACAGACATTGATTTTTTATCAACAAAAATTTCACATCCCTTTTTATCGTTCATGCCAGCAGCAGCCCCCACGCTTTGCAGCAGTCCAGCTACTATAATGTGTGTCTCAGCATAAGCTGAAAATCCATCCAAGAAGCAAATTACTGATCTCCATAATCCTGCAGCAAGACTGCTGCAGGAACTGAGTTTGTTTAAAGTCAGCTTGGCTAGGCTTTCTCTATTCTGCAATGATTGGGATGTGCTATCTGAAGGGTTTTCTGAAGGAGGAAATAACTTAGCTGCCTAAAGGTGACATACCCAGTCCCATTTTACACCATAAAAATTAACAGGGGATTTACAAAGGCTGTTCCAAGTAGTAGGACCCCTGATTTTTCAGGAAAAGCTTCCCAAAAAATCAGGGGTCCTACAGGAGGTAGGTACCAGTAAGCAACAAACCGAACAACTGAGTAAACACAGCCAGAAAAAACCCCTGACATTTCTCTAGACAATTACTAGGAAATGCAGTCTTACATGCTCACAACCTGAGAGAGATGTCTCAGTTAATTCAGCTAAAAGCTCCATTTGAGAAAATCCTACAGATTTTAGTGGAATATAAACTGAGATTGCCTCTTCTGAAAATTACTATGCCCAGGTCAAAGAAAAAAAAAAAACCAGAAAAACAGCAATAACAGAAAATTGTGTGACTCCTGAAGATGTTGTGTGGTAGTTGTTGTGGCTCTGTGCTTCAGAAGCCATCCATTCTCCAGGTATCCCAAATCTGCTGGAAAACTCCACAAGTTCGTTTAAGCTGAGGAATGGAGTACGGATGTCTATTCCTTATCCAATCTTGTCAAAATGACTGTTTGTTTACAAGTGTCTACAAAACTGTATCGAAGGTAAAGTCCTCTACTGCACTGCAATGTGTCTCATTGTTACTAATTCCTGGGTCCTTTCCATGAGCTCTTCTGTGAATCAAATTGTTTTCATTTATGGAATTTTTTACTAGCTGTTATTTTTAAATGAGACTTTGGTTTCTCACATGCCTTGTGGAAATATAGGCAAATGTGAAAAACATCTACTGGAAAAATCTCCGTACTTCATCAGGCCCAGAGGATTTAGTAATCAGTATGAGATTTTCCTCCTCTCAATTACTGACTCTTTTGTTTCAAAAAAATAGCACTAATACTAAACAAACAAACAGAAAGCCCCAGTTGCTCCTCTTTCTCAGTATTTATTTTTGGATGTCTTCCAGAATCATCTTTTAACTGTGACTGCTGACATCCTGGGCTAAGGCAACATTCACAAGCCTCAATATTTCTAGAGGGGCTTTGGGAATTTTTCAATTTTATCTATTTATTATTTTAACAGGGAGGAACCAATGTTCTGGTTTTCTTGTTTGGGGGATTTTTAAACAGAAAGAGCAGCAGGATGCAAATGGAAAATTAAGGACTGATTCACTGACTCCAGTGTCTCTCCAAAAACATGTCAGTCATTTGTTACAGTGAGGATGAGAAAAACCTTCTGGTAGAGGCTGTAGAACTCTGAAAAAAATTACTAACTGCCATCCTTTACTGTGAGAAGCCTTATAGTTTAACACCTTCAAATTATTGCCTGTGAGTATAAGACTTCTCAAACTTCAGGTTGGCTGAACTTGTCAAAAAAAACAAATTCCCGCTTCATTTCCGCATGCTGATGCACTCAGGAGGAGGAAGCTGGCCCAAGACACGGCCCATTGCAGGTTTATTCAGCCCTTCAGTCATGGTGGACTGGACAAACAGACTGCAGCTCTCATTCCTTCCCCATCCACCAGCAGCACCTGGTGAGAACTGAGCACTTTCACACTCCCCAGGCAGCAGGGCTTTGTAGCTCACTTCTGTACCCAGTTCTGTGGGGCATGCCATCTTTTTTCCATTTGACAAAAAGAAAATGGCATGGCTTGGGTGAAATTGGAAGCCTTGCATCAGCCTGACATGGACCACTGATCCCTGACAGTTCTTCACATGGCATCTGCTTTCTTCATCTCCTGGCCCATAGCCAGCAGTGACTGCTGCCAGGTGGAAAGGGGAAGACTTTTAAGCAGGAATGGGAAGAAGAAAGGATCAAGTGCTGTCCTTGGAAGAATGGAACAAAATAATTTAAGCTGAAATTTGCAGAATATGAAGAAAGCAAATACTGGCTGATCATCTGGGTTGGCTAGAATAAGATCCAATAAACAAGTTAATGGAGGAGTTTAATAAATTTATTTAATTTAAAAAAAAAAAGGTTCACTGCAGTAGAAGTCAAGGTGACACTCTAGAAGAGGAGTGAAAGATGGAAGAGCAGAAAAAAAGGTATGATGTCTTCAAATCAATCTTGGCAACATTTCTTTTTGGGAGCTTGAGCTTTCTGGAAGCAAACTATGAACACGCTGAAAAATCAATGAATTCCAGGAGAGAAAAATCTCCATTTCAAAGCTCTGACACACTGTGTGAAGAGCCTTATATTTTATGAGTATTCTAGAGCTGGTGATGTGGCTAAAGGCCACTACAGTCAGGATCAAAGAAAATCCAACCAGACTTTACTTCCTCTCAAAGAGGGCATCTCCTCTTTTCCCCGTTCATTGGCTTTCATGGACTTGACTGAACTCACTCTTCAAATACTCAGGGCAAGAAGGTGTTGTTAGCCCAAAATAAGAATTCTCCCCATTGCAATAGCATGAGACAGGATGAGAGAGCTCCCATGAGAAGCAGCATGGACAGGAAACATGGGCAAGAGTTCAGTGAGCAGATTCACATTGTTTCAAATTAGGAGTGATTTAAGTCATGACTCGAGGATGACTTTTCTGAATCACATTGACACTGTGTCTTTTTCAATGCCTGATGTCAGGCTCTTAGCTCATAAGTAATAAATTAGGAACCATGTTGAGTTAAGAGAGTGTAAAAATAATCAGGTTTTTAGAAAATGATAAAAAACCCAGTTAGTGCCCTCTGAATTAAGCAATATAGATACCAGCTAAGCTGAAATACAGTAGCTTAATCACAATTTGAGATAGACCAGTAAGTGTGCAGAGAACTTGAATGCTGACAGATACTGAGTACAGGAAGTAGGAACAGCACTTCTGGAGTTAAATACATATATTCTACTGCTGTATTTGGGATTCAACTCTTCCTGACAGTTGCCTTTGGCTTACATTACTCAACTAGATAAGATAAAATTACAGTCTAAACAAACATCAGCAGTCTTGCTAAAAAAAACCAAAACAAACTGGTTGGAAGATGATGACTGCCAGTTAATGAAAGTTTAGAGCATCAGCATGACTGGAAACAGTATTACATGAAGTGATCCCAAGATTGCAACTTACCTCTTCCCTGTGATTCTTTATTGGCATACAGAGAATGCTCTGAGTCTTATACCCTGTGATCTGGTCAACTTCTGCATTGAATCTTGGATCCTGATACAAGAAAAAAAAAAGAAATTTTTAGACTACTAGCTTAAAGACCAGTTCTTTTTCTTCCTTGGTTTATAGATTAAGACAAGTTAAATATTTTATTTGACTGTTACCCAGGATAACAAAGGTTTCATTCCCAGCCAATAATTATATGAAGGTGTTCCTATCAGTGTGATAACAACAGACAAGCATTTGTGTGGAACACGAGGGCCACTAGATTAGGACTGCTGCTATAAAGAACAAAAAGCCCAAGTCCTAGGAGGAGCCTTCTTTTTGAGCATAGACCATCATTATGATAAATATGCTCATGGATTGACCATCCCTAGTTGACCTTTTATCATCAAGAAGAAATTACAGAAATCAACTAAAAGATCTGTGCCCACAGAGGAACACAGTTTCATAAACTTGGTTTGTAGTTTTGCTTTCATCAGAGATTGCTTGTTTCATTTATTCACATCAGTATTGAACTCTCAATAATCACCTCAATAGAACTCTGAGTTCTTTAGTCCTAGCTTTATGTCTCTGTGCGCACATATGTCTATAATACATGCATTATAACCAAAACCAGTGTCAAGTGTGCATCTTGACCACTTTAAGTCAATACAGCACCAAATACAAGCACTAAAATGGCAATATTCCAGCAGCTGATAATGCGGCAGCTTCTACTTTTTCAAGAGTTGCTGAAGACCAATTTCCTTGGCTTACCTCATAGGCATTCTTGATGTTGAGAGGCTGCCCTATGGCTGCCACGTGACCCACAATGCCCTTGTTCCACTCCAGGCGAATGCAGTTGTTGGAAGCTTCTTCCAGGGTGGATCCTTCTGCCACATCAAAGAGCCTACTCACGAGGAACTTCTCGTTGGAGCTGTCCTCACACACCAGGAACAGGGAGTAGCGATCGGCTGCGATCAGCTCGTGGATGTGTAGGAAGATCTTATGGCAAAGAGCTGTGACATCTAAGTGACTAGAAATATCTTTCACAAGTTCTAATAGTCTGGAGCACTGATCCCCTGCACTGGTCTCAATCCTTGGAGATTGCAGAGGCATCTGTTCCTTCTTGTCGGAGCCAGAGAGGAAGCTCACTGCTCCTACTGAGTCCTTGACAAAAATAGGCCTTAAGGGTCTGTCAAACTCAGAAGCCGAGATTTTCCTTGCTGGCGTCCCGGAGTTGGTGGTCTCGGCACAGGGAGGCTGGTGACAGGCACAGGCTTCGCTCTGGGACTTGCTTCCCTCCTTGCAGACTGGGATGGTGTGAACTCTCTCAGCAAACCATGCATTAACCATTTCTCTGTCAAACAAAACCAAAAATACAGCAAATTAGATGAATTGAAAATCCTCCAGCATATATTGAAAGCTAGCACTGTGAGAGGATAACTAAACCTTTTCACACAGAGGATACTGATGCACCTTTAGACTCCTCTATATCAATATTCTCCAATTTTATGCAGCACTTAGCCCAGATTAAGCAGTAACATTTTCTGCCCCGTAAAAAAGAAGCTATTTTTGCCTAGAGGAAATACCAGAATAGGGCAGAGAACGACCACTTAGGCTGTGGCTTTCAGAGCGCAGATCAGAAATTTGCACATCATTTTGTGACTGAAATGTTCCAGTCTTTTCCATTCCTAAGATTTGGATTTCTGTAGAATATATATATATTCATTTGAAGACAGAACTTTCTGGTTTTAACCTCTAACAAGAATTTCGAACTTTAATTCTCTCAGTCAATTACCTGCAGTCCTTACTATTTTTCTGTTGCAATATACTGTTTTTAAAGTTAACTTCCCCACCCTCCAAGTTAATAAAAAATACTGGTTGGACTCAAAACATAAAAGCTTTGCTTGAAAAGCATCAAAGAAACATGATTATTACCAATTCAACCCCCTTCAAAATAAGAACAGATTATTCTCATGCATCTCTCCTACTGCCTTTCCTTGCAGATGACACTAATTGTCTAACTCAACCCCAAATACTGCATAACCCTAAAACTGTATTTTTAAGTGTTCACCACCAATCAAAAAATGCCATGCATTTCTAGTACTTAACTGTGCTTCTCAAATTAACTTAGTACTAGAAAGCCAACCCTAAAAATGTCCTCACTAAATACAGCATATCATAACATGAGTCTACTTTTTTTATCACACTATCATTTTCTCATCCAAAATCTGAGGGGTTTTTCTTTTGGGCTTTTTTTTGTCTTTTGTTTGGTTGGGTTTTTTTAAATACCGGGCTTTTTATTTTATTTGCTCAGTGTCAAGGATTCCTCACAGCAAATGCCCTACTCTCAGAAGAAATGGGTTTTCGCTGTATTACATAACACATGAGCCGAGGAACAGCAAAAACCCTATTAACAAGTCTGATCTTTTGGAAACCTTTCATGGTGGTCATGTTTTAAATTTGGGATATTTTTTATTTGCTCAGCAGACCACAGGAATTTGGAGAGTGAAGCTGAATGAAGCCATGGAAGTGATTCAGGTTAGTCAGCTGCTGATCAGTTACACACATCAGTGTACATTACATATGAAAAGCACTGCACAATAGTCTTATTTTCCTTAGAGCACACCTTTGTCTTTGCTGTAAGATGCAATACTGCAAGCACAATTAGCCCTTAACTCACAGCAAAGTGATTAATTAAAATCTAAACTCCAACAACATTACTTTTAATAGCAAGCCAGCCACAAAAGGAAACTCATTTGATTTCTGTTAAGAAGGCTTGAAAGAGTTTCTTCCCATCACCATTTGGAGACCTCAACTGTAGGAAAACAAAATGCTATAAACAAATTGAAAAAACAAAAAAATGCTATAAAAACATTGAATTATTAAAAACCAACAATCCTCCTTTATTAAAGCAGTGATACCTATTTTTTGTGCAGTAACCTCATGCAAGTGTTTCCTGCAGTGAAGCAAAGAACAACTAATATATCACAAGAAATTTGACTTCAACAATATTACTTTCCATTACTTAAACAGGATAAACATTAAATGTGGGAACTGTGACCATTCATTACTGCAATGCATAATATGATTTGCAGGGGACAGTGTCACATGTGCAAAAGTTGTTTCACTGAGAGTCAAAATAAGAAGCTAGCATTTGGTTACACTTAGAATTTTCATTTATTAGACTGAATGAGCAAGAATAAATATTTTCAATTCAAATGACCAAAAATATCCTTAAGGAAATTAAAAAGCTAAAGATACCAAAATCAGTATGCAAATACAGTACAACCTCTGAAATCACTGCTGCTAACTCTTGTTAACAGGGGCATTATATGTGGGCCCTTTTTGTTTTACTCTGATCACCTCAAAATAAAACATAACCTGGAAATTTTAGCTTCTCCAAAACAAAACTAACATCCAGCACTAATGCAGCAGAAAGGAACTTGCAAATGCCAGCTGGACGCATTTAAGCCTCAGACAGAAGATAGGTATAGAAAAATTGACAGTTTTAAAGAAGATCATTGACTTGACCCAGATTCACGTGTGTGCTGACTTCCTTTCTGAGGACTGAGGACCGGCATTAATGGAAGGTAAGATTGAAAAGTAGCAGTAATGACATAGTACCAGATGGAGGGGGTTCTCCAATGACTGATGAGGCTCAGAACCCATGTAATTGAAAATGTACATGTTTGAAGGCATGTTTGGAAATGAACCTGTGCTGTTGTTGGGCAACTGCAATTTGCAGAGCAATCTGATTCACTGCCTACTTACTCCTGAGGAAAGGAGAATATAAAAAGCTATCCTTTTCCCTCCTCCTGATGTACACTGAATTTACATACACGGATGTGTTGATACAAGATGCAAGGCAGAGAAAGAATCCATTAGCCTTCATGCATAAAGAAAAAACTACAGCAGAAATTGGATTTAGAAACCTGTCATTTTGTTTATTCTGCAGTGTTGTGTTATGATTTCCCCAGGCCTTAATGGTGTAGCAATAGCAATCAGTAAGAACAATGTACTCTGAATGCTAATACCTGTTCTCAAACTGTGGCCGTGACATCATTAATTTTTTACCCTCTTGCCTTCTTACTGTGTAAAATAACCTCCATTTCTGATGGAGGTTATTGAGGGATGTGGAACACAGCTGTAGAACCTTTCACATGAAAGGAATTATGTTTAACAAGAACCAAACTACTTGTTGGGTATCAGCACTGTTCATGAAGCACTTAAACATTGAACAGAACTGTATGTGGAGCTGTATAATTATGAGTAACATATTCATGTCCTTTGATTTCTCTTGGGTGATGGTTCAATAATTTGCCAACATAGTGCATGATTCTCAGAAAGCTCTTTAGATTAACATCAACAACAAATCCTTAACTAAACCGGTTAAAGCATGGCTTTCAACCTCAAGCCTTTTAAGCATTTTACTTTGGGCAACAGGAAAGCCATTCAAATTCAACTGGAAAAAGAACAGTGTTCAGTGACCTTTACCAAATGCCTCTTCTAACAAGGAAACTATTTAGCTCCTTTTACTCACCCAGTTACACACACGGGTGGAAGAACCAGCATTTCACATGAGCTGACGTATTCTAACTCTATTTAAAATCGCTCGGTGTCTTGACATGCGTCCGCTTGTTGACACTCGGTCCTATTTAACAATGCATGACAAGAAGGGTATTATGGCTAACACAAGTACTCTCAGAGCACAGAATTAGCTCAGCAGATACCTGACACCAGACACGTCCTGAGCCACGAGTGAGGCTCCTGGAAATTAGCACTGAGTGCCATGTACAATTAAGATGTCATTTGGAATGACTGCAGGAAGAAACCAACACTTCCTATTCATAGGAACAGTCTTCAGTAAGCACTGGCATTGTCAAGAGCTGATTGTAAGGACAAGACCCTGGCGTTAGTTGAGAGATTGCAGGAGCAGATACTGATCCACAGTGATCCATGCAGACACAAACTCAGTGCAGCGTCTCTATCCCACCATGGCAATCACTGTGAGTTGAAGAGCTATAGGATCCATATCCCTCATGACTGGGATGCATCCTTTACTGCACTATGAGCCTTTAATATGAACCTTTACTCAAGAAAGACGTCATTTATCCCAGAACTTATGAACAGGAGTAGTAGAATATGAGGATAGCATTTTTTAGTCATTCCTACCAGCCAAATCCAATCTTCCCTCTCTAAAACATGACAGTAGTGACTGCTGAATTTGGCTGGTGACTTCATCAGCAGATGACAAAACTGGAGAGGAATTTGGAAGTGATAGTGCTAAGAAGGGGATAAAAATGCAATGGCAGGCAAAACATCGAAGAAAAAAAGAAAAAAAGATGGTGTGATCCTCCCCTCTCTGTCATTGCTTATATACAAGAACAAGTAACTTGCAGTACATGAGACCTTGCAAGCTTCAGAAGAATTAAGACTTTGGCCCTGATTTGTTAAATGCTGCACAGATAGACCTGTCCCTAGAGCAAGAATTTTTCAGTATTAATAGGCAATAAAACCAAAAAATCAATGGTTGAGAAAACACAGACACAAGGAAGCAACATGTCTTGAGCCAGGTCATGCAGGAAGGCACGTGTGGACCTGAAGAGAACTCGGCTCTATTTCCTGTGCCGTGTGCATCAAACCATCCTGACCCAACACTAATCACTATGCTACTCATACACCAGGAATGTTAAATAATTTACTGTACCCATCTTTACTTCTTTGTGATCATCTTCAAAGTACACAGCAGACTTCTCAAAAACAACAACAACAAAAAAAACAACCCAACCCAGGGAAGATGTTTAACAGCCAGGTTGCAATTGTCTTGCTTACACTCAGCCTATGTAAGAACACACCAATGTGACCATTCAGCACAACTGCTTGGCACCTTTGGAGGAAATGTGCAAAAAACAGAATGCAAAGGTAACACGGAGATGCAACAACAACAGTAAAAACTGCATGTTACTTACCTTGCACAAAGAACATGTAACACTTGCAGTTCCATAACAGAGCACAGTGATAAGTAGTTTTCAGTGAAACAGCAAATAATTCCCTGTTTTCCTTGTTGCTCACAAGCCACTCATACATACAGTGTATGATGTTTTAGTAGTTGCGTGGGCTGTTCTGCTCATGTTTCATTCAAAGCGGCAGTTATTGGTAACACTTCAGGAGAGGGACTACAAACTTGCCTACTAGAAAATGCCAGCTTTCAAGTGTCTGAACTCCTGTAGCCTAATCCTGACAATGCTGAAATCAATAACATTTCAAGCTAAACTTCATAACTATTATCAATTGTCTTCCATAAAATAACCACTAGATGTCTTCAAATTTCTCTCCAGCATCTTGACATAATTTTGACACAGAAATCACTT